GTCACAACGTCAAAGGTCAAGGTCACTATTACCTTAAAACTGAAAACAGTTTACCGTAGCATAACTTTAGTTCCATTTGGCCCACAATATTCAAACTTCATAGGATGATTGTCCATATTGGGTAGAAGACCCATATTGATTTTTGGGTTACAAGGTCAAAGGTAAAGGTCACTATTACCTTAAAACTGAAAACAGTTTCTTGAGCATAATTTAAGTTCCATTTGGCCCACAGTGTTTAACTTCATAGGATGATTGTCAATATTAAGAAGAAGACACCAATTAATTTTTGGGTCACAAGGTCAAAGGTCAGTATCACCTTTACCTTGAAACTGTAAACAGTTTTTGCTCAATAATTTAAGTATTAATTAACCTACAGCTGTAAAATTTTATAGGATGAACAGCCATGTCCAATGAATGACCCCTATTGATTTTAGGGTCATAAGATCAAAGGTCAGGGTCACAATGACCTTAACACTAAAAATTGTGCTTTCTGGAGCATAACACAAGTTTCATTTGGCTTACAGTGTTCAAACTCCCTAGGATGATTGATCGCCTATATTGAATAAAAGATCCATATCTATATTGGGGTCACAAGGTCAAAGGTCAATATCAAATGACCTTAATATTTCACTATCAAACTTTATAGGATGATCATTTATATTGAGTACATTAATTATATGCCTTAAAAATTTTGCTTATATTATGTTATATGCCACCAAGGGCATATTTTACCCAGTTTTTTATGTAAATAAAATAATTAAAAATCATAAAATTTTAAAATGACAAAAAGAAAATGCAAATAATAATAATAATATTTCCATGTATGAATGTGAGTGTGTATGTAATCTACTATAATGTTTTATGATAAATTCTTTATATTCAGATTTAATATAATGTTTTGAAATCATAATGATATTGTTAATTACCCAACTGTTTGTGTTTTTTTCTTTCTATAACTACTACCCTAAAACAGTACTGTTCCCCAATAGAAAATAGACATTTTAAAATCCCTAAAATGGCTGTTCAAAATTCCCACAATGCCAAGTGATTTCTCTGAAATCATTTAAATCCAGCATATTCATATAAATCACCACTCAATAGTTCTACCTGTACATTGGTACAGTTGTTTAGGCAGTAGCGGATTTTAGGGTATACCGGATAACATGGTAGAAACAATGCTCATTTCCATAAAATATGCCTTTTTCAAAAAAATACAATTATACCACCAAAAAGAGTGATATATTTACCACCCGTCGTTAATTTTGTTTTATTTATTTCAAATTGCACAGAGAGTTTTTCTTACATAAATCAGAACAAGGTAACCGATTGTTGTCACCGTCAGACTGTTTATATGAGCGCTTCCAAAAGAAATAAACAGAAAACTATTGATCAACACCAAGTAAAGTAATGAAATATTGACATGATTTGGTGTAAAAATCATTTGTTTCTAATTTTTGAAAAGGTTTTACAGATATAACATGTACTGACACTAAAAATTATTGAAATCGAACAGCAAGTGTTTCTGTCAGTAATGGATTTTACATTTGGGGGTGGTCTCAAAATTTACTTTATCTGTCAAAAGTCCGTCAAAAGTGGATTAAAAGTACATTTTTAATAAAAAATATCCCAGTTTTAATGTTATAATATTATTTATGCTATTTCTTTTATAATTTTAACTAAGTTGTTTTTATACCTTTAATATACCATCATAATTAACTTTTCTTTCAACTAGATTGTAAGATTAATAATAGCTATATAATTATGTATATGTAAAACAATGCTCTTTTTGTGACTCCTTGAAAAGGCAACATATAGGGGATTACTTTTGTCGGCGGTGTCGGCGTCGTTGTTGGCGTCAGCGTCCCCTAAAGCTTGTCCAGAGCATAACTCAGTCACTTTAAGTTTGATTGACTTCAAACTTGGTATGCATGCTTCTTTCAATAACACGCAGTGCAGTGCACAAGCAGTCTTCGAATTATCCCACTCGACCGACGACCGAGTCAAGTAAATTTGCCATTGGTTGAGTGAAAATTCCAAATTAGTAGCCCGTCTGGTCAAGGGCTTTTTTTTTGTATCCAAATTAAGAAAATGTCAGAAATATGCAGAGCTCCAGATAGCAATGTTTTGGCTTGATGAAAATACAATATATTTCTGCTGCATTGGATGGAAAACTAAAAGTACTACTGTCAACACTGCTGTAAGTTGAAAACGAAAGTAGCAGGAAGTGAAATTGTGTACAAAGGGAAGGTAACTCTTTGGAGTTTCTGGATTAAGTTAAATTTGGCGTAATCATCGTAGGACTGAACCTAATATTCAATTTGTTTAGACTTATAATATAATGTTTTTGCTACAAAATAAAGAAAAATGATGTACTTTCTGCCACTTTAGTTATTGGAAAACATATTTCTCCCTTGCCATCTGCAGTTTTGTACTCAATATTTTCGTACCAAGTTTACAGTTACGGACAATTTCCTCAAAGACTAATATTTTTTGTTAGTTTTAAATCTATTATATTTTTTTTCTTTAATTCTTATTTCAATTATAATTAATCTAAACCAAAGAACAGGCACTAAAATGTAGAAAAAGAATGTGACACATTTTAACAACAACAAGTCAGCAACAACAAAAATGAGTCTTTTTGTTATTTTGCTGTGTATCCTAAACAAACCCTAGTCCAGGGAAGCCTGCCTTAACAGAGTAAGTTCTGTATTATTTCAAATTGTATCAATATTTTATTATAAGTCAGTGTGATTTATGTCAAAAAAGAACTTTTAGAAGGCAATGAAATAATGCAAATCCTTTTTATAAAGTTTACCCCAGATTTTCATTTTATTCTAGATTTTGACGAGTAAACCATGTTGAACTTAAAACGCTTATGAAATATTATTGATTGTTAGACATTTATTAGGGGTCATCTCATGCTTCACAATATATCTTTTCTCTTGTATTTTGAAGGCACTAAGCCAAAAAGGAACACTCAAAAAAAAAAAAAAATATGATAAAAGTAATACGAAAAGGTATAATTATAAATATGTTGTCAAGGCTTGTATCAGCCAACATGGTTACTAAACAACGAGGAGAAGGGTATTTTCAGTTTTTAAACAATTTTTTTTCAGTGTCTGGACAATGCCACAGAAATAACAAAATATTTCTTTTCATATGTAGTTTAAACTCTTCTTATTTAAATAATGAAAGGAAGAACAGTTGATTGTCAAATGGTATATAAAAACATATAGAAAGTGTTATTTCTATACAAAATGTATGCAAAAAATACCATTTTGGTTCGGGCTAGTTAAAATGTGTTCGGGCTAGTGAAATTTTTAGGCTGCTAGCCCGACTGGGCTAGTGCTGAAAAAAACTTAAGGCGAAGACTGCACAAGGACCGGTACTCTGCTCTTTTTAATTTTTGAGTTATTTTGTCCGGACCATTTCTCTTCAACTATAAAAGCTATGGACATGAAACTTCATAAGATGATAGATCTCATTAAGAAGAAGTGCAGTGCACAAGAATCTGTACTCTGCATTTCCTAATTTTTGAGTTATTTCCCTTTGTTAATTTTCATACTTTATTTTTGTCCGGGCCATTTCTCCTAATGTATAACAGCTATGGACTTGAAACTTCATAGGATGATAGATCTCATTAAGAAAAAGTGCAGTGCACAGGAACAGGTACTCTGCATTTCTTATTTTTTGAGTTATTGCCCTTTGTTAATTTTCATACTTTATTTTTGTCTGGGCCATTTCTCCGAAAGTATATAAGCTATGGACTTGAAACTTCATAGGGTGATAGATCTCATTAAGAGGAAGTGCAGTGCACAAGAACTGGTACTCTGCATTTCTTATTTTTGAGAAATTGCCCTTTGTTAATTTTCGTACTATATTTTAACCAGGTCATTTCTCCTCAAGTATAAAAGCTATAGACATGAAACTTCTTAGGATGATAGATCTCATAAAGAAAAAGTGCAGTGTACAAGAACCGGTACTCTGCATTTCTTATTTTTGAGTTATTACCCTTTATATATTTTCATATTTTATTTTTGTCCAGGCCATTTCTCATGTATTATAAAAGATATGGACTTGAAACTTCATAGAATGATGGATCTTATTGATAAGAAGTGCAGTGCATAGAAACTGCTGCTCTTCACTTATTATTTTTTGAGCTATTGCCCTTTGTTAGTTTTCGTATTTCATTTAACCAGGTCATTTCTCCTCAAGTATGAAAGCTATAGACATGAAACTTCTTAGGATGATGGATCACATTAAGAAAAAGTGCAGTGTACAAGAACCGGTAATCTGCATTTCTTATTTTTGAGTTATTACCCTTTATATATTTTCATTTTTTATTTTTGTCCAGGTCATTTCTCATAAATTATAAAAGATATGGACTTGAAACTTCATAGAATGATGGATCTTATTGATAAGAAGTGCAATGCATAGAAACTGCTGCTCTGCACTTATTATTTTTTGAGCTATTGCCCTTTGTTAGTTTTCGTATTTCATTTTTGTCCTGGCCATTTCTCCTAAACTATTTTGTTCACCAGGCGACACATCCAACTCGCGGAGTTCTAGTTCATTGAAATTTGTTGTTTTATTTTTCATACACAATACACATGCTTAGCTCAAGTTTATTGCACAATTTTTGGAATTTATGTATTCAGAATACATAGTTTACCTTTTAATTAATCTATACTAATTTTAGAGTTATTGCCCTTTGTTCATTTCTATACTGAACTTTGTTGGGGACATTGCTGTGAAACAACAAGAAATTAAGATGGTAGAGAGATCTCATTGATTAGAAGTCAAGTCCAAAGATCAGTTACTCTGCCTTGCTTAATTTTGAATTTTTTGCACTTTGAAGTTTGTCCTGGGACATAACTCTGAAACTACAAGAGGTGTACTTTTCTGTGTCCAAAACCTATTCGAGGAGCATCAACCGGTTTAAACCAGGCTCTTGTTTTTTCTGTTCATTATTGGTGAATGGGAAATTTTTTTAATTCCAGCCAAGTAGAGCAGTTACACCAACTATCACCAAACTCTCTGTCCGTTCTGGAAGACCAGGTTAGTTAAAATAATTATTTTTGATGATATCTTTTTTGTTCTCTAACAAATTTTTTTTTACTATCTTATAAGTCATACCTAAATTTTATTCGGACAAGAGGACATGAAAATTTATCTTGGACCACATGATTTATATTTTGCCAGGACAGAGGACCAATAGACCTTTGCACAGACTGAAAAAAAAAATCATTAGACAGAATGTTTGGTTTAATTATACCCCCCGCACAACTAAGTTGTGAGGGGGGTATACTGGAATCAGCTTGTCTGTCCGGCCGTCAGCCTACTCTCATGCAAAGTAATAATATGGCTAGAGGGACAATAGCAGAAGGGTTTTACGGGATGCAGAATTCTGCCTCCTTATACCCATTAATTTTGACATGTACGCATATAAGTTATCCACTTGCGTCCAAGTGTACGCACAGAAATAATCCTAGACAATAAATATTATTGTTTTTGACCCGATATGATTTTTTCTCTTTCTTCTCAAAGCTTGCAAAATTCCAGTTAAAATCTAATACAGTGAGCAGAAAATGCTGGCATTGTTCATTTTGGAAGTTAACATAACTGAAATCTACTGCACATGCTATTAAAAGTGCCCGCTGCAAAAACTGATGATGTTTACTTTGCAAGCTACAGTAACTGATGACGTTTACCATAAAATCTATTTTAGGTAGCTGTTTTTGGTATTTCTGTGGCTAAATTTAGACAGACTATTTATAACAGGCAATTACTAGTTAGCGTATCCAGTTCGGCGAATGTATTTCGTATAATAAAAAAGGCTGTGGTTTTTGCAAACTTATTTTTATAAGGGGGGGGGGGGGGGGTCATTGATTTTCCTTATATGTGTATAGCAAAATCTTAAGAAAATCTTCTTTGAAAAAACCCAAATAGCTAGAGTTAAGATATTAAGCATGAAACATCTTTTAGTGGTTGTCTACAAACAAAGTTTGTTCAAATAAAAGACCTGGGGTCAAAATTAGCCCCGCCCCGGGGGTCATTGATTTTCTTTATATGTGTATATCAAAAACCTAAAATCTTCTTTGAAAAAACCCAAATAGCTAGAGTTTAGATATTAAGCATGAAACATCTTCTAGTAAGTGTCTACAAAGTTTGTTCAAATAAAAGCCCTGGCCCGGCCCCAGGGGTGTCATTGTTTTTAACTATATGTGTATAGTATTAACTTAAAACAAATCTTCTTTTAAAAAAGCCCAATGAGCTAGAGCTTCGATGTTAAGCATGAAACATCTTCTTATGGGTGTCTACCAAGTTTGTGCAAATAAAAGCCCTTGGGTTAAATTGGCCTTGCAACGTTGGGGGGGTGGGGGGGGTGGGGGTTGGGGGGCCTATATAACAGGTGAGCGACCTCAGGGCCTTTAAACAAGGTAATGTTTATTGAATGCACTAAGCAATTATTCCAGCATCCCTATATCAAATCTTTGAATAAAAAATAATGAATAGCATATCAAAGTTACCTACCTACCTATCCTCTTCATGCCAAGTGGCACATAAGGCTGAAACCAGTTTCCTCCATTTTGGTCTGTCCTTTGCAACCTTCTCTAATTCTTTCCAGTTTTTTCCCATCTTTTTAATTTCAGTGTCTATGTTTCTTCTCCATGTTTCTCTGGGTCTTCCTCTATTTCTTTTCCCTTCTGCTGGTGTCCACTTAAGGGCTATCTTTGTGATGGAGTTATGCCCCTTCCTTATTATTTGAATTGTTTTTGCTTGATGGTGGCGATTATACATTTTTGGCCTGTTCTTTCAAAGAGATCACTGTTAGATATTCTCCTTGGCCAGTATATTTTACAAATTTTCCTCAAGTGGAGTGAAACCCTTTCAATCTCTGACTGTCTTTCTGTGTAAGCCTCCAACATTCTGAGCCATATAACAGAACTGACAAGATGTTGCTTTGGTACAGTCGTACTTTGGTTCTTTCTCTGATGCTGCTGGATCTCCATATTTTATTTAGTTGATAGAAGGCTGTTCTAGCTTTTTGTAGCCTGTTTGATGTGTTCTTTTCTGTAGCGTTTGTCTTGCTTATAATGCTGCCAAGGTATGTAAAGTCATTTACTTCTTCTAAATCTTTGTTTCCTAGTTTTATTAAAGGTGGTGACGTATGAAGTTGCATTGTCTTGGTTTTCTTTTTGTTTATGTTTAATCAGATCTGCTTTGCATTTATGTAAAGGTCATTAGTTTTCTTCTGAAGGTGGTTCGATGTTAGGGACAGAAGAGCTATGTCATCTGCGAAGTCAATATCTTCCAGCATTGATGTTAGTGTCCATCTTATTCCTCTACGTTTATTTCCTGTTGTTTTTCTCATGACCCAGTCTATTGCAACTAGGAAAAGCATCGGTGACATGATGCATCCTTGGCGTACTCCACTTGAAATGTTAAACCAGTTTGATATATTGTTGTTATGTAGTACACTGCATGAGAAGTTGTTGTAAAAACATTTTATTATATGGACAAGTTTTTCTGGACATCCATAGGCTGCAAGTATCTTCCATAGGCTCTCACGATGGATGCTATCAAAGGCCTTCTCAGAATCAATGTAATTTATATGCACTTTACTGTTCCACTCAATGCATTGCTCCATAAAGTTTCTAAGGGTAAAAATGTGATCGATGCAACTCACTTCAGGTCTGAAGCCTGCCTGCTCTTTTCTGATGTTTTCATCTATTGAACTGCTGAGTCTCATATATAAAGCTTACAGAAGATTTTACTTGGCACAGATAACAAAGTTATGCCCCGCCAGTTGTTGCAATTTGTCTTATCTCCTTTCTTTGGAAGCTTTATAATCAGGCCTTTGCACCAATCTTGGGGTAGCATTTCATTCCTCCAAATTTTGTTGAAAAGCTCTTCAAGTTTTTCAACTATAAACTTAGGGTCTGATTTTAGGTGTAGTGTTATAAGAAATTAACTCACTGGGTATGTCAATTATTGTTGTTGGTGTAATAAATATAATGGTAATGTCAATGAATTTAAGATTTTGAATCTACAAGCCTGAATTCCAGATTTGAATTTATTCTACTATACTAGTGCTAAATTCGATGACTGTAATGGTTTCGGCAAACTTAATTTATGAGGAGGTGTAAAAGTGCTTTTGTCAGCTTTGTGTTATATGATATTTTTTTAAATTACAACATACTGTATTTCTAGAAATGTACGCGTATACAATATTTCGCGTTTTTCACAACGTCGGCATTTTCACGGATACAAACTTTCGCGGATTTGTAGTAACCGCGAATTCCGGGAAAATTTAGTCGTTACAGCCTAAATAGGCTACTTTTTTTGATACTTGTCCTAGGACTGTTGGGTACTTTTAAATTTTTTTTACAATCCCTTTTCATCTATTGACTAGTCCAACACAGAGAGTTGTTCTGTGAACACTTTTATCTTATTTCCTTACCTTTTTCATTATGTGATTAAGTAAGATATAGTCAGACCAGTTAGCATTTATTTTCATTTGAATCATAACTTTATCTTCAAAATGTCGATATGTTTTTTTTCCCAGTATCAGACTGTACATTGCTTTTATTATAACAACATTACAGCTACTTATCAATGCACTTGATTGCTATTGTACTTTTAACAAAGGATTACACCTATTACAAGCAACTACACACCTCCTCTATTGTTTGTGACAGGTCTATATCTTTTGGATAGACCTGTTTAAACAAAAGAAAGTCTGTTAAGAGGTCTATCTTTTGCATGTGCACAGGTCTGTTCTAGTCAGACAGACCCGGTCATGAAATACATGTGAAAAAGTAGACCTGCAAATGCGCAGACAAAAAAAAACCAACTTGAAATGCAATCAAAAATTAAAAATTAAGATAAAATGTAAATGATTGTCATAATGAGTTTTTCTGGCTGCGTGGTTGACGCTTTGATTCCGGGTTGGAATTACAAATTGAAACCCAGAGAATGGTTTGGTCATTCGACAACATCTGGTACGGGGACATGTACTACAAATGGGTCAAGAGGCATAGAAAATGTATCGATGTCAACACCCCTTGTATAGTTACGGTTCATGTATCTCACACTTGCTAAGAATATACACATGTAAGTCTTTCATGGTCTGCTGGGTATCCGGACATTGTTCTTCTGACAGTTGCCCACTCTGAAGTTTGCCCCCTTTTTGCAGTGGCGGTCAGTTGCCCCCTCATATCTTTGGAAGGGGCAGACATTTGCCCCTCTCCCTGTTTAAAAAATGTTAAAATAGTGTATTGTTGAATTGTTTGCTACCAAAATACATCCCTATTGTCGAAATTCCATTGTGTTTAAATACACAAAAACTCTCGTGCAAATTTTTGAAATCCATATGTCTCCATTAGTCCATTGGCATACAAAAATCTATACACAAGATAACAAGTGACAAGTCACAACAGCATAAAAAGAGGGAAAAAACGTCCGGGGTGGCAGCTGTCCGAGGACAATTGTCTTTGAATCTGCATTGTCTGATAACATAATTATTCATTTTTAATTAACATACTTTCCGTTACAGACCTATTCACTTTATTATTGACAAATTGCACATTTAGCTTTTTTATTATTATTATTTTAAAGGGAAAAGCAAAGTTAAATGCAAAATATTTATTGTATTTAAGCAGAACATTGATAAAAGCTTGCCTGTATAATGCGTTGTGATAAAAATAATATTTGTGCATTACATCAAATGCTTCGGATCAGCCATTGCTCAAGCCAATATAGTTTTACTGTGTGTAAGTTGGATATCGGCCTCGTACATCGATCTTTCTGTTTAGGAAAGACCTGGTCACGAATTTCATGAAACACCTTGAGCGCGTATTTCAATGTCACATGAAATTCGTGACCTGAGGTCTTTCCTAATCAGAAAGACCTCGTACTCAATCGACATCCTATACAGAAAATCCAAGCCATTTTATGTACGCCAACTGTAAATGCTTTTTTATATGTCATGACTACTGAATAAAGTCAATAAGCATGATAGATACTAATAATTGACAATTTATTTCTTCAGGGTCCAAACAGGTATCTATTACATACATACATATTTCTTTACACATTTCTATATCACCTGCGTTTATATGTTTTTTGTGTAATTAGATTAATAAAAAATATTCTGCACGTTCATGATTATATTTGGTTGAAGCTTAGAGAAATGTTCGAGGATTTGTTATAAGTTACATATTCGCGGCTATAAAGATTCGTGGAATCATGCCTACCGCCAAAAAAGCGCTAACTTAAAAAGTGCGAAACTTTTCTAGGAATACAGTAACGGTACATTGTATTTAGTTGACTGGTCTGTAAAGTCACCTGTTGTGTGTTTACTATTACAGCTAAAATATTTACAGACAGATCAGTTTTCAGTCTATTGGTGTAATCACCTTATCTATCACAAAATATGCTACTAAAACATGACATTCCAGCCACTCAAAGACTAAGCCTGGGAAATAGCACATGATATTATAATAAAAGCCAAATTAATTGAAAGTGATAACAGATATTGAAATCATGTACTACTTACGAAAACAGTACGATATACATGCATATTTCTTACAGGGTAAATAAATGATTTCGAGCAAAATTGAGTGGTCTTCGTTAGTCTTTTTCAGTGAATATATTTTTGGACCCCTAAAATTTAGGCCTGGACTCCTACTTTTTTAGACTATGCATCCACTGGACCCCTAAAATATCAAAGAAATGTAAAACCCTGCAATATTCTTTCGCGTTGATGTCATTCATTCCGTAATGTTTTCATGTGGCTGATTTCTTTTGTTTGGAAAAAAAGAACAATAGAGAGAACAATTGAGTAGCCACATTATTACTGTCCTGTTAGAATGTTCGTTCAGCTGTCCGTCCGGCCTTCCAGCCGTCCGTCGGCTTTTCATTGTCTGCCAAATAACTTAAGATTCCTTTTACCCACAGTTTTCATATTTGGTATTTAGATTGTATATGATAAGTACATGATCCCTATTGATTTTGAGGTTACTGGATTAAAGGTAAAGGTCACAGGGGCCTTGACTACAAAAGGCTTGTCCACTCAATAATTTAAGATTCCTTTGACCCACAGTGTTCATATTTTGTTTAGAGATTGGTCTTGATAAGTAGATGAAGCCTATTGATTTTTAGGTCACCAGGTCAAAGGTCAAGGTCACAGGGGTCTTTACTAAAAAAGCTTTTCCGCCCAATAAGTTAAGATTCCTTTCACTTTTTGCATGGAGGTTAGTCATGATAAGTAGTGTCATGGTGACACGCCTCATTTAAGTTTTCTAAAATTCTTTTGCAATTAGTTCTAGGCTAATCTTTTCACTAACTGACCTGATACCACTTTTTTTAAGGGGGATGACTGAATTGATACATGTTTATATGAACAATATCTTTAGGTGGGATATGTTGAAAGTTAATGTTTTAGATGGGATGATTGAAATGATTGATTTGAAATGTTAGTATTGCAAGGTCAGGTGGGATGGCTGAAATGAAATGAATTTAAATGTTCCTATTCTATGTGCAATATGTTGAAATGTTACTATTTATAATATTGGTCTCAATGAAATAATGTGTGTTTGAATATTACTACTTTTAGGTGAGATTATTCAAATGGATGGAAAAATTTTTACTAATAAATACGGCAGCAGCATGACGGGTAATACTAAGTTACTAAGGTAAAAAATATGTTTAAAAGGAACAATTTTTGATAAAATTCTATCATATTATATTGTTATATATATATATTGTTACATGAGATTAATTGATTCTTTTGGAATTCAAATATTAACTTTATGTCGTGGATATCCTATAATATACATTTGTATTGAATCTTAAATGACCTGTAATCATATTTGTATATCAAAATTATTAACAAAAGTGAACGAAAAGAGAAAAAAAATACAAGAGGTAATTCGAATATAAAAATATACATATATATATATTATTATTTTTCAGGGCGTATGTTGGACCTCGAGAGTGTGACGTGAAGAACAATGATAAATTGTGAGTTAATAAAGTGGTAACAATATAAAAAGTGATAATATTGTGTAAATTAATTGATAAAAAAGTGAATAAAACCATAAAGCAATGAAATTAAGCGTTTTTTTAATAAACCAAAAATTAATCATTTTATTTAATGCAATTGAAAAGTAACAGTGTTAAATTCCATGTACATGTATTTCATTTTTTTTCTGTCTCAGCATTGTTTTCACTTTTTACTATATTTTAACTCACTATTCGTATGTTTACATATGTTTTTCAGCTATGGCTATCAACTTAATAGGCTTTCTACAGATGGAAGCATGAAATGTAAAACTCAAGGTTCATCTGTCGGCAAGTGATTTTATCTTACATTTAGAAGTTGTTTGCATTTTTATCTTACATTTTAAAGTTGTTTGCATTTTTATCTTTCATTTAGAAGTTGTTTGCATTTTTATCTTACATTTAAAAGTTGTTTGCATTTTTATCTTACATTTAAAAGTTGTTTGCATTTTTATCTTACATTTAGAAGTTGTTTGCATTTTTATCTTACATTTAAAAGTTGTTTGCAAGTTTTCTGTCCTCAACATGTCATATATAACACATTGGTACGATGTTGCATAATTATATTAAATTAATTTTAAATGCATATTTTTCTTGAATATAGGCTAATTTACCTTTTTTCCATTCTTAATTCTGTAGTTTTAATTACATTGATTTTTATGATTTTGAAATTAAAATTCTCAACTGTTAAGAATCACTCACTGAAAAAACTTACCATTAGAGAAACTGATTTGAAATGCTAATATATGTCTTAAGAAGTTATTTATAATTATGCTATCATTTTCAGGATTTTTCAACGTAACTTACGTTCTTTCATTTGCTTATGGAAGGTATGTTCTCTTTTGTTCATTTATATTTATGGTCATTGACTTATGTATGGTCTGTAATTTATTAACATGTGGACAATACCTTGGCACCTTGCCCAGAAAAACTCAATTATATGTCTATCTATAGTAACATACATCACTGTGATAATTCTGTTCCCTCTTTTTAGTACTTCAGTAATCATGTATCATTAAAATACATGTATCCAAACTCTCCGCAGCGGTTACTTCCCCTGATCAGTACAGAAAACACTGCCACCACAAGTAAATTTGGTTGTCAGAGAGCTGAATATATTTTTTTTTCACTTTTAATTTTAAAGTAGAATACTTTATATCATTTTACTTTTCTTTCATTAAAATATTATGCTTAATGTACAAGAATTTAAAAATGTACTAATAAAAATTATTTTGTAAACATAACAAAAGATATTTTGACTTTAACATCCTATGTATTATAAGTAAACAATGACTGAAGTTAGACAGTTATTGAACGATTGCGTAGAAGATTTTGATCCGGTTCTTGTTTTGAAATGTAAGCAAATTGAGAGTTTTGAACATATTTTATTTGGTAAGGATGTAATTGTAAATCTGCCAGTTGGATATAGGATCCTTGGTGTTCTGAAACTGGCTGCCATGTTTTTGTCACATGATACAACTATCGTCACATCGGTTTCTTTGGTGGAAGTGTTTATAGAAGCAAAGCGTGACGTAACTGCTGTGAGGAGTTTGACATGTATCCTGATGACGGTATTGAAAGACTGAAACTGGTAGATCCTTGAATAAACCAGATTATAAACCATCCTGAGACTGATGTTTAACATGTGTTCTCTCCTTCTCTTGATTTACTTGTTTATGAATATTAATGATTTTAAATAAATCTTCAGTTAACATGACCTGATTTTTTTAAGTTTTTTTATATGAAAATGGTAAATGTTATATTAAAAACAACATTATAAACATTGTTGATTAGCAAGTTAACTTGAATATTGTCTATGTATTTTGAATACAAAATGTACATCCAATGTAGAACTGAAATTTACATCATACGCTTCACATATAAATAAGACTTATGGCCAGTGCCTACATGTTTTACTGTATTTCTTAATTATTATCTTTTTCATGTTTTAGATCAATGGCTGATGCTGATTTGTATCGTGTATCTTATACTGATGAAATTTATATGTATCAAACATATACAGGTATTATATCATAAATTTCTTGATAAACTATGGTGGCTTATTGGTTCCATCTTGCATAAACTTGATATAAGTACATGGCATTATCAAGGTAAAAAGTCCCCCGCAATCACTGTTTCTATTTACCACTCAGTGGACTTTAAATTAAAAATGGAACACATGTTATGAAAGTGATGATGATTTGATTTAATTGAAAATATAAGACAAATATATAAAAGAGAGCTGCATTTAATATTTTTGTTCAATTTTAATGTTTTACAGGGGATATTTTTTATTGTATTATAGCTTCAACTTGGCTGGGCTTCCACTGAATGATAAAGCTTGTACAAGTTTGTTGTATAGAATAGAAGTCTTTTATTATGATTAAATGATTATTTTATGATATTTTAATTATTATTAAACAAGAGTAGTATAAAATATTCATAAGACAAGATATATATATATTGTATTGATTTCAAGCCATAAAGTATTACACTATGAATCTAACATTTAAGCATAGCAAGAATTACTGTACCTGAATGTAAATTAATACAACATAACTTACATTTATATACGTATGTAAGTCAATTATTTTAGAAAGGTATTTTTTTTTGTTATTTTTAGTTTTAGTAATTTAACAGAAGACTGATAGTTAAAATAAGTACACAGTTTTTAATACAACAAAATTAAGAAATAAGAATATATACAGTAGAACTTCGGTAAGTCAAAGTTGAATGGACTTGCGTATAAACTTTAACACATCGGGACTTCGACTCATGAATCAGTCTCAATTTCATGACAAAATTTTGAGGCGTTGATGTATACAAGCAAGTTATAAAAGGGGTAACAAAAAGGAAGGGCAATAACTAAACCAGCTTATAGTAAAAAGATCACATGTGATTCATAATCATGCAACACCGGGTCACGGAAGTTCTCATATAATAGTTGTTCTTTCTGTTTACTTTCAAATATCACTGTGGTTATTTGAATAGTAACAGTTCAAGCTTTTTATCACACATTTTTATACGCATTCAAAGATAGTTTGAACACATGAATACGTAATTAACATCTGTCACACAAGTTGATAGGAAATCATTTTTCACGGCTAGGAAAGGTGTGAAAAATGTCTCGAGATTGAAGGTGTAAAAAAAATATCGAAAGACTTATTTATAGTAAATTGTATTTGATTTATTCATACAGACCACGAATAAGCCTCCGACACATTGAAAAATTCGACACATAAATTTTTGACTCATACGTAGGTATTTATAAGGAATATATTGGGAAAAATCAGGATATTTATTCTATTTTCAACACCTCAAGAAAATAGACTAATGGAAGTTTGACTCAAAGAAATTCTACTGTATAATTTCTTACCTGAATAAGCAGACACAAGTTTGTCAATAAAATAGAAGTCTGCCTTTTCAGTTGCCAGACTCCTAATTTATACTAAATAGGTAGACCAGTATATGTTATCTTGTCAGAAACTAACATAATAACATATATACATGATGCATCAAAATGATATAATTATGTCTCCCCCACCTCGGGGGGAGACATATTGTTTTTGCCCTGTCCGTCCGTCAGTCCGTCCGTGCGTCCGTCCGTCCGTCCGTCAGTCCGTCAGTCCGTCCGTCCATTCTTCGTTTCCGGACGATAACTAGAGTTCCTTTTGACCTACAGCTCTCAAACTTCATAGGATGAATGGTCTTATTGAGCAGATGATCCCTATTGTTTTTGGGGTCAGTAGTTCAAAGGTCTAGGTCACAGTGACCGTTGGTCAATTTCTCGTTTCCGGATGATAACTAGAGTTCCTTTTGACCTACAGCCCTCAAACTTCATAGGATGATTGGTCTTATAGAGCAGATGATCCCTATTGTTTTTGGGGTCAGTAGGTCAAAGGTCAAGGTCACACTGACCGTTGGTCAATTTCTCGTTTCCGGATGATAACTAGAGTTCCTTTAGACCTACAGACCTCAAACTTCATAGGATGATTGGTCTTATTGAGCAGATGATCCCTATTGTTTTTGGGGTCAGTAGTTCAAAGGTCAAGGTCACACTGACCGTTGGTCAATTTCTCGTTTCCGGATGATAACTAGAGTTCCTTTTGACCTACAGCCTTCAACTTCATAGGATGATTGGTCTTATAGAGCAGATGATCCCTATTGTTTTTTGGGGTCAGTAGGTCAAAGGTCAAGGTCACACTGACCGTTGGTCAATTTCTCGTTTCCGGATGATAACTAGAGTTCCTTTAGACCGACAGACCTCAAACTTCATAGGATGATTGGTTTTATTGAGCAGATGATCCCTATTGTTTTTTGGGGTCAGTAGTTCAAAGGTCAAGGTCACACTGACCGTTGGTCAATTTCTCGTTTCCGGATGATAACTAGAGTTCCTTTTGACCTACAGCCCTCAAACTTCATAGGATGATTGGTCTTATAGAGCAGATGATCCCTATTGTTTTTGGGGTCAGTAGGTCAAAGGTCAAGGTCACAGTGACCGTTGGTCAATTTCTCATTTCCGGATGATAACTAGAGTTCCTTTTGACCTACAACCCTCAAACTTCATAGGATGATTGGTCTTATTAATCAAATGATCCCTATTGTTTTAATGGTCAGTAGGTCAAAGGTCAAGGTCACAGCGACCGTTGGTTAATTTCTCCTTTCCGGATGATAACTAGAGTTCCTTTAGACCTACAACCCTCAAACTTCATAGGATGATTGGTCTTATTGAGCAGATGATCCCTCTTGTTTATGGGGTCAGTAGGTCAAAGGTTAAGGTCACAGTGACCATTGGTCATTTTCTCATTTCCGGATGATAACTAGAGTTCTTATCAGTGAGGACATTTAACTATTATTGATATATCAGTGATATATCAGTTGTCTGGTTTTATATACTCTGTTCTTTTATCTCCATTTCCATTCCTGTTTCCATTCACGGTTATTCTCAGCAGTGGGGGAGACATGCGCTTTTTTACAAAAGCATCCTCTAGTTTTTTTTATGTTTTCAGTGGATTACTGATTTATCTGTGAAAATTATATTTGATAATTTCACAGTGAAAATTATCAAAATATAATTTCACACTTTTTAATGACGAAACTACTTTTTTAAGATTTTTCATATGTGGTACCTCAATTTTATTTTTGCTAACAATTCTGACAATGTCAGACTGTTTAAAGAAAAAGCAAAGCTGAAATTGATAAATAACTTAAATGTCAAAAGTAATAAAAAGAAGAAAACTTACTTATCTATTAATTCAAGTTCGAATCACCAAATTTCGTCTCTAAATTTTTTTGTTTCATTTTTACAGTCAGAAAAATGCATTTCTTCCACATGCAAAACTGCTCTTGATGACATTTGGGCATATTAAAGTATCCTACGAGCAATAACTGTCGTATGCTTTATGAAAAATTGAAAAGCAATGACAGCAATCAGCTCGTAGAACAAGTAAACCACCCAGCGTTCCTGAGCAAGTTCCAAGTTTTCCATTTTCCTACCTATTTTTTTTAATGTTTTCACATCTGTCAACACTTATTATGCCCCCTTTTGAAAAAAAGGGGGTATATTGCTTTGCACTTGTCGGTCCGTCGGTCCGTCAGTCCGTAGACCAAATGGTTTCCGAGTGATAACTAAAGAACCCTTAGGCCTAGGAACTTCAAACTTGGTATGGTGATTGGTCATGACAAGTAGATGACCCCTATTGATTTTGGGGTCAAGGGGTCAAAGGTCAAGGTCACATTGACCTTGTAAGCAAAAACGGTTTCCGATCAATAACTAAAGAACCTTAAGTCCTAGGAACTTCAAACTTGGTATGGTGATTTGTCATGATCAGTAGATGACCCCTATTGATTTTGGGGTCAAGGGGTCAAAGGTCAAGGTCACATTGACCTTGTAAGCAAAAACGGTTTCCGATCAATAACTAAAGAACCTTAAGGCCTAGGAACTTCAAACTTGGTATGGTGATTTGTCATGATCAGTAGATGACCCCTATTGATTTTGGGGTCAAGGGGTCAAAGGTCAAGGTCACATTGACCTTGTAAGCAAAAACGGTTTCCGATCAATAACTAAAGAACCTTAAGGCCTAGGAACTTCAAACTTGGTATGGTGATTTGTCATGATCAGTAGATGACCCCTATTGATTTTGGGGTCAAGGGGTCAAAGGTCAAGGTCACATTGACCTTGTAAGCAAAAACGGTTTCCGATCAATAACTAAAGAACCTTAAGGCCTAGGAACTTCAAACTTGGTATGGTGATTGGTCATGACAAGTAGATGACCCTATTGATTTTGGGGTCAAGGGGTCAAAGGTCAAGGTCACATTGACCTTGTAAGCAAAAACGGTTTTCCGATCAATAACTAAAGAACCTTAAGGCCTAGGAACTTCAAACTTGGTATGGTGATTGGTCATGATCAGTAGATGACCCCTATTGATTTTGGGGTCAAGGGGTCAAAGGTCAAGGTCACATTGACCTTGTAAGCAAAAACGGTTTCCGATCAATAACTAAAGAACCCTAAGGCCTAGGAACTTCAAAACTTGGTATGGTGATTTGTCATGATCAGTAGATGACCCCTATTGATTTTTTGGGTCAAGGGGTCAAAGGTCAAGGTCACATTGACCTTGTAAGCAAAAACGGTTTCCGATCAATAACTAAAGAACCCTAAGGCCTAGGAACTTCAAACTTGGTATGGTGATTGGTCATGATCAGTAGATGACCCCTAACGATTTTGGGGTCAAGGGGTCAAAGGTCAAGGTCACATTGACCTCTTGGGTAAAAAACAGTTTCCGATCAATAACAAAAGAACCCTTACGCCTAGGAACTTCAAAACTTGGTATGGTGATTGGTTATGACCAGCAGATGACCCCTATTGATTTTGGGGTTAAGTGGTCAAAGGTCAAGGTCACATTGACCTTGTAGGTAAAAACGGTTTCCGATCAATAACGAAAGAACCCTTAGGCCTAGGGACTTCAAACTTGATATGGTGATTGGTCATGATCAGTAGATGACCCCTATTGATTTTTGGAGTTAAGGGGTTAAAGGTCAAGGTCACATTGACCTTGTAGGTAAAAACGGTTTCCGATCAATAACTAAAGAACCCTTAGGCCTAGGGACTACAAACTTGATATGGTGATTGGTCATGATCAGTAGATGACCTCTATTGATTTTGGGGTCAAGGGGTCAAAGGTCAAGGTCACATTGACCTCTTAGGTAAAAACAGTTTCGGATCAATAACTAAAGAACCCTTAGGCCTAGGAACTTCAAACTTGGTATGGTGATTGGTCATGATCAGTAGATGACCCTATTGATTTTGGGTCAAGGGGTCAAAGGTCAAGGTCACATTGACCTCTTAGGTAAAAGCAGTTTCCGATCAATAACTAAAGAACCCTTAGGCCTAGGAACTTCAAACTTGGTATGGTGATTGGTCATGACCAGCAGATGACCCCTATTGATTTTGGGGTTAAGGGGTCAAAGGGAAAGGTCACATTGACCTTGTAGGTAAAAATGCTTTCCGATCAATAACTTAAGAACCCTTAGGCTAGGAACTTCAACTTGGTATGGTGATTGGTCATGACCAGCAGATGACCTATTGTTTTTAGGGTCAAGGGGTCAAAAGGTCATGTAACATTGACCTTGTAGGTAAAAAACGGTTTTTCTGATCAATTAACTAAAAACGCTTAGGCCTAGGAACTTCAAACTTTGTATGATGATTGGTGGTGACCAGCAGATGACCCCTATTGAGTTTTGGGTCAAGGGGTCAAAGGTCAAGGTCGCATCGACCTTTGTAAGTAAAAACGGTTTTCTGATCAATAACTTAAGAACGCTTAGGCCTAGGAACTTCAAACTTGGTATGGTGATTTTTTTATGACCAGCAGATTACCCCCTTTCGATTTTGGGATCAAGGGGTCAAAGGTCAAGGTCCCATTGACCTTGTAAGAAAAAACGGTTTCTGATCAATTAAGTAAAAACGCTTAGGCCTAGGAACTTCAAACTTTGTATGATGATTTGTCTTGACCAGCAGATGACCCTTATTGAGTTTTGGGTCAAGGGGTCAAAGGTCAAGGTCATGACCAGTAGATACTTGATAACCCTTATTAATTGTTTGATCACTGGGTCAGAAGTCATGCATAATTACCTTATCACATGAATAATTGGCTGCTGATAGGGGGCATACATGTTTTACAAACATATCTTGTTTTTTGTCTGTTACAATCCTCAAATATGTTTTCTTTCTTTTAAAAAGGTGTAGGACTAACAAATGATATCTCTCTGAATCAAACACAATTATTTTCCTCCCATGAAATACACAACTTTAAAAAATGGCTGCCGCTTACATTTAACAAAGCCAGGTCTAATATAAATTCGCATTAAGTAACAGAAATATGGATGGATGGTTGGACTTTTTCTCCTGCAAGAATTGTTTGTTTTTATTATTAAAACAAGCTATCATTCATATTTTTGTAATAAAATAAATAATATCACTGTCATTTAATGTTGATTGTCGGACTTATTTTTCAGCTCAAGACTTCTTGTTTTTAATGAGAAATTCCGACTAATTTGGGCTCTCAATGGGGAAAACAGATTTTAATATTTACGTTAATATTATGGAAATTTCGTTTAAACTTGTTTTTTTAGCATAAAATAAAAGAAAATTTGTTTATTTGTTGTTTAAGATGTAATTTTATTTCATCTCGTGAACTTTAAAAACAGTATTCTCACTCATGGCTATGCCACTCCTGAGAATACTATTTTTAAAGCCCACTTGATGGAATAAAATTTCATCTTACACACAAACAAACAAATGTCCTCTATATAATAAACAAATTTGTAAAATATTAACTACAGTCATTTAACAAATGCACTATACACAGTTGTGTAAACAAATGTTATATTTTACTTCAGACATTACCAATATAAGTCATTCAGTTGGCAGTAAGGCTGGAGGTCTGACACTTACTATTTACGGAAATTATTTTGATGAGAGAGCACCTTATTCCAAATCGAGGGCTTATGTAGGAGGTAAAACACCATTTTTTTTACTACTTATTATATAAAACTACAGTTCAAATACATTTCCCTTCAACTGACTACAATCTTAATTGTGATATCTTACAAAACATTCCTTCCTTTTTGTCAATTTCCCCCACAAAGCAAGAGGAGACTGTAGTAAACCCCTTTTAAATATCTATCAGTCTGTCTGTCTGTGTGTTTTTTGTGTCTGTTCTATATCTCCAGCATTCTTAGAAGGATTTTCACGAAACTTGGCTCAAATATTCAACTCACTGAGATGATATGCCATCAATTTTAGCTCAAGGTTAAGGTCACACTTAGAGGTCAAATGTTTTAGCCTGGGTTTTTGTCAGCAAAGCGGACTCTTATTATTACATTGCTAAAAGAACAATGGAGAGAGCAAAAGCATAGCCACATAAGTATCAATTTGTGAGAATTTTCATCCTTCTGCCTGTCTTTGTGTCAACTCCATACTTTTATTTGCTGAAATTTTTTTGAAATAACTTGGCACAAGTGATCAACCTTATGAGACGATGTGCAGAGGGCTATAATTGGGCTACTACCCAAAAGTTCAAGGCTACACTTAAAATCAACATCTAGGTTGCTACCCCCAAATTACATCTAGTTATCTTCCCCCAATGTCAAGATCACCCTTAAAGGTCAACTGATAAAGTCCACATTTTCCTGCCTGCTTTTGAACTTTTAAACTACAGAAAAGTTGTTTAAATGACTTTGCACATTAATGGTCACCATAATGACATGATGTGTAGAGTGCAATATTGAGGTCGCTATCCCCAAGGTAAAAGTTAAACAGGACATAGCACTAAGCCCATGGAACAGCAAGTTGGCTTAAAACATAATACAACCAAATTTGTAAGACTTGCCAATATACAAAGTCTTAATTAAATTACCCATCATTACCAAGACTTTGATCTAAAAATTCAAACAAATAAGAGGATCTCCAAAAGTACCTCACCTTAATATGGAAGATAATTGGTCAATAACTGAAACAGGCTTTTGTGATGAGCAAGTGTGCCGATGATATGCTTTGTACAATATCAAGGTCATGGTTGGCTAAAAACAGTTTTTGATAAATAACTTGCCAACTTTTGGGCTGATGGTCCTCGGCAACTACTTATCACAGCCTCTTGATATTTGGTATACAACATAAATGCGTGCTCCCATACTGTGGGATTCGATTTCAGGTCTATCGTTCCTCCCTTTCCTGTTTGCCAACTTAATAAAATTTCCAACATCACTGGTCAATGGTAGAAAATTTTCATATTTCATTACATCAAAGCCTCATGAATTGAAACCCGGCCATTTCTGTCTTTGACCCTTTTACTTATAGATGTTAAAAATAACTGTTTGGTAACAGTAAATCTAATGGTCGAGTTAAACATTCGTTTGCAGAGGCATGTTCTGTCTCATGCATCATAATTTTCCTGACCTGAATGAAAGAGTGTATTTAACATAATAATAATTTATAATAATTTTGTATTATAGGAATTTTGATTTTTAATTGATAATAACTTGAACAATGAATCGTAAAAAAAATATTTTTTTTTTACAATTATGCCAAGGCTAAATCAATAGCTTTTTCTTCCGCAGTAAATATTATAAGATGCATTTTCAGGCAGTCTCATTTTAGATGTAAAGTGATTTTCAAAGACGGTAACACACATAGTTTGCAAGGATCTTTAGAACCGTCAGTGTAAATATGGGAAATAAATATATTCTTCTTTGTATTTTAGAAAATGTTCCTTAAATATTTCAGGAGAATTGGACCACTTTTTCTAATTTGATAAGACAATAACTTTTGAAGATTGTAAGTCTGCAGAGGAACATTTACATCAACAATTCGAAGAATATATGAGCCACAGCTCGACAAAACCAACATAATGGGTTTGCAACCAGCATGGATCCAGACCAGCCTGCGCATCCGCGCAGTCTGATCAGGATCCATGCTGTTCGCTATCAGTTTCTCTACTTGTTGTAGGGTTTGTAAGGGAACAGCTGATGATGATGGATCCTGATCAGACTGCGCAGATGTGCAGGCTGGTCTGGATCCATGCTGGTCGCAAACGCATTGCGTTGGTTTTGTCATGATGCGGCTCATATTTTGGCTCTATTTTAATTTTTTCTAAACCTATCTTTTACACAACAGCCAAATGGTTAAATTTCCTTTAGTTTGTTAAAAATTTGCCACTGTATTTTGGTTTAAAATAATTTTAGGAGGATGTTTTACTGTCTAATGATACTCAGTTGCATATTGATAAGAAAGCTATTTTCTACGTAGATTTTACATATGTATTATTTCAGACACTGTTTGTGACGTCAAAAATGTCGTTAACGATGAATATGTAGAATGTATTGTGGCTGCAGACCCACAATATACAGCATCTAAATTTGAGGGCAACAGGGGTGTCAATTTCGAGTACTGGAAATCCACATTAAAAGGAGAAAATGACCTTGACATTATTTTGTCCCTCGGTAGCTCCGATCCCGGCTACAAGTCAACAACGCTCGATGAAACGTATTTTGACAGTAAAAATGATGACAATATATATGATGCACACGCAAGCAGAATGACAACATACTTTCGACCACCCCACACTGGAGAATACCAATTCCAACTTCTTGCAAAAAGTGGAGCTAGGCTATATGTTGATGGGGTATTATAAAAGAGCTAGCTACAGCTAGGTTTTTAAAGATTCATAAATCCTCATTTTTAGTCCCCTACCGGTTTACTGGAGGGGACTTTAGGTTTACCCTCCGTCCGTCTGTCCGTCTGTCTGTCCGTCCGTCAGTCCGTCCGTCCACAAAACTGGATCCCGCGATAACGCAAAAAGTACTGAAAATATTTTAATGAAACTTGATATATGCATAGATGGCAGTATGGAGATTATGCACGTCTTTTTCTTTTCTTCCTATGTTGAAAATTCTGGTTGCTATGGCAACAAATAGACTGAAAATATGGCAAATTTTACACATAACCTGGATCCCGCGATAACGCAAAAAGTGCTGAAAATATTTTTATGAAATTTGATATATGGATAGATGGCAGTATGGAGATTATGCACATCTCTTTCTTTTCTTCCTATGTTGAAAATTTTGGTTGCTATGGCAACAAATAGACTGAATTTCAAGATTTCTGATTCTAGTTTTTAAGTTTTTTCACTATAAGTTCTTTATTTCTGAAGGTATTTTCTTCAAACTTTAAATATAAGTTGCTTGTCATCAACCACATCATATGTGACAAGGTTTACAACTCTAGCACAAAATTTATCAGAATTACCTCCCTTGAACTTAAAATTTTCATGAAAAAAACATTGTTTTTTCAATAACTTCATTTTTTGAATGTATCTACTTCAAACTTCATATAAATGTTTCTTATTATCACTCAACATTTGTGAGTGTTCGATACTCTAGCAAGACTTTTTCCAGAATTATGCCCCTTTTGAACTTAGACTTTTTTTTGAGAAATTGGTAATTTTTACTCCAACTTCTTCAATCATGATAGGATTTTAAAAATGTTATATTTTGATAACAGGGATGTTTAAAAAATAACTTTAGAGTGTCGTTCAGTCTGTCTGTCTGTACATAAAAACTGTTTCCTGTGATTACTTTTAAATAACTTTTTTAACAAATTTACTTAAAATAGGAACATAAGTGAATGGCCAATGGCCCTTCAGAATGTTGCTTGGGCTCTTACCGGTAGGGGACTCATGGATTGCTTGCAATACTATGATAATTGCTTGTCTTTTATTAATTATGGCCAACATAAATATTTGACAGATAGCCCATCACTTATGAACATTAAAAGTGGTTAATTCACCTCTTTTGTGTGTCTAAGTGTGTATGTTTTTGTTGTACTATTTACAATAGACAGCATTAGAATAGTATGTTGTTAAGCAATGCTGTCTTGCTAACATTGAATCCTTTGCGCCATATTGCTGTGAGTTCAAATATTCCCAGAGACTTTGAATTGTAGTCATTGGGCACACTAAACCACCAAACTTAATGTAGCTGACAACAAGTTTTGGGTCTGGCTGCTCAGATACCTGGCTTGTTCCTGAAATACCACACAGAGTGGCACTTCAGGCATTTCTCTACCATTAATATGATGGATATAATGATTAAAAAAAACAAGAAAAAAAAAACCTATAAAATTACAATCGCTTATGTTTTATAATGTTCAGAAACCCTTTACCGAGTTGAATGACTCTATCACTTTGCACATTTATTTTTATCTGCAGATGGAAACTGTTACATCTATAAGTACTTGGGAATCGTCTGATCGAATGATGTTAAATGAAACAAGAAGGTATTTCACTGAATTCTTTTACACATGTCATCTTCAGTGGTACAGTAAACTTCTATTCTGAATATTATTTCTAAGAAGCGTAAAAAATAGGGAAAGTCTGTTACTCAACTGAAGCTAAAGAAATATGACAACATGGCAGTATGCTTCTGTAAAAAAACTTCATTATGATTAAAAACATGCAATAAGATAAATATATGTAAGAAAAAGTATAAGCTAGAAGCGATACTATGACATCTGTTAAAGGTAAAAAATTTACTGATTTTCTCGTCAAGAATAAATGAGCAGCGCATTGACAAAACCAACATAGTGTGTTTGTCACCACCATGGATCCAGGCCAGATTGCGCATCAGCAATGTCTGATCAGGATATCAGTTTCTGTTCTTGTAATATGGTTTGTAAGCCAACTGCATGGATCTTGATCAGATTGCGTGGATGCTCAGTCTGGTCAGGTCCCAGCATGGATCCAGGCCAGACTGCGCATCAGCAATGTCTGATCAGGATATCAGTTTCTGTTCTTGTAATATGGTTTGTAAGCGAACTGTATGGATCTTGATCAGATTGCGTGGATGCTCAGTCTGGTCAGGTCCCAGCATGGATCCAGGCCAGACTGCGCATCAGCAATGTCTGATCAGGATATCAGTTTCTGTTCTTGTAATATGGTTTGTAAGCGAACTGCATGGATCTTGATCAGATTGCGTGGATGCTCAGTTTGGTCTGGATCCATGCCGGTCATAACACACTATGTTGGTTTTGTCATTGTGCAGCTGAATTTAATGAATCTCGTAAGAATTAAGTGATACATGAGAGTCAGACTAACATTTTACTTATGTAATATTATCCATCATTGCCATTTCAAGATAAGTAATGAAATTGTAATATATATCCCTCATCAGGAATAATAAAAAGTGTGACACATTTTTATTTTGGGGATAATGCATAATGAAAACATGACCCCATGCACCTTTGGAGTTTGCTATGTATGGACTATTAAAGACTTTCTCTCAACCTGTTTTGATCATTTTTAAAAAAAAAAAAAAAAAAGATATATATATATTTTCATTATTATTTCATTGTTAATAGATATTTACTGGAAATTACTCACTATGCCAGTGCTTCCAAATCCAATATAAACTTGCGGGCCAAGTTCTTTAACACAAAATTCACTAAGGCCTGGACGTCAAAGGCTGTGCAAGAAACTCAAACTATCAAGATAACTTCAACTTTGAAAAAAGAAGAACAGGTAATCAATTTCACAAGAGAGGCTTTAACCTTTACCCTCAAATAAGCGTTTTTCTATGGCTTTTTGCCCCCCCCTTTTGAGACCTCAAACAGTGAAAAAATGCCCTATTTAGGCCCCAAACACTGTTTTTTGTTTGAGAAATGTTGTTAAAAAAAGTGACCACTTTTTTGGCGCTGTCCCCCATCCATATATAACATCAGGGGTGAATGCCAGAAGGGGGATGTGCCCCCTTCTGTTTGGGGGGTTTGAAGGGGGGGCGGAGTCCCCCTCATCTCCAAGAAAATTTTGGACATGTGACAGGCTAAAAATGGCCTCAGGTCAATTTTAGGGTAACTAGTAATCAACGCTGAAAAGCCTTTTACTCTATCTCATTTTATTGAGAAGTTGCAGCACTTTGAAATCAGTTTTGATGGAAAAAAACAATGCAAAATAGTGTTTTTGGCAATTTTGAGACGTCCCCCCGTTGCCATGGTAACAGGAAAATTACCATTGAGCATGCTGTTACAGAGGCTATGGTGTAGTGAACATTTGTGCCTAGTCTGGATTACCTGCCTTTTGTCTAAACATTTGTATTTGTTTACAATAGAAGCTGGGAACCAGACTAATTTGTGCCAAGTTTCATTAGTATTGAAGTATTTTTTACAGTTTCATACCAGTTTGAACTTGTTACAGGAGGCTTTTAAATGAAAACGGCCATTTTTCGCAATATGCTCATGGGGTAAAAGTTTAATAAAAAAAAAAAAATGTCAAAAAACAACATTTTTTCACTAAATTTCAGTGTTAGGGCATAAGTTAACATGGAAATTTAGTTTTTGTGTAATTCCAAGGTTTTTCATCATTTTTTGTTAACCTTTTCCCTCATATAAGTGTGTTTTGACGGCTTTTTGTCCCCCCCCCTTTTGAGACCTCCAACAGTGAAAAAATGCCCTATTTAGGCCTAAAACACTGTTTTTCTTTTGAGAAATGTTGTTTAAAAAAGTGACCACTTTTAGATGCTGTCCCCCATCCAAATATTACATTAGGGGTGAATGCCAGAAGGGGGATGTGCCCCCTTCTGTTAGGGGGGTTTGAAGGGGGGCGGAGTCCCCCTCATCTCCAAGAAAATTTTGGACATGTGACAGGCTAAAAATGGCCTCAGGTCGATCTTAGGGTAACTAGTAACCGACGCTGAAAAGCCTTTTACTCTATCTCATTTCATTGAGAAGTTGCAGCACTTTGAAATCAGTTTCGATGGAAAAAAAAACAATGCAAAATAGTGTTTTTTGGCAATTTTGAAAAGTCTCCCCGTTGCCATGGTAACAGGAAAATTACCATATTGAGCATGCTGTTACAGAGGCTATTATGTAGTCAACATTTGTGCCAAGTTTCATTAGTATTGAAGCATTTTTTACAGTTTCATAGCAGTTTGAACTTGTTACAGGAGGCTTTTCAATGAAAATGGCCATTTTTTTCGCAATATGCTCATGGGGTAAAAGGTTAAGAAATTAATAATATAAACTTATAATGTTTTGTATGTAAATGTTTTGAGTGTAAATAATTGCTACATGTATGTTAGATATCAATATCATAATTATGACTAATGAGGTACGTACATTCTAGTGACAACGTTGAAAGTATAATATATTTTATATCTGCCTGTGTTGAACAAGCTAATTTAGATCTATATACACTTTTAAGTATTTTAGATCTATATACACTTTTAACTTAAAACTAGAAAAGAATTGCCATTTTATACATTTTGTATACATCTATTAATTATTACAGGTATAAGGAAAAAGCCCAAGACAAAGGGGAGATAAGAGCTATAAATACTATATTATTTTATGGAATAATAAATGTATAGTTTTTCCTGTTTAAGTTGTGAACATTTTCTACTGGAAAATATGTTTCCTGTAAAAATAATTCAGAAGTTATTTCTCAAATGAACTTTCTTTATTTCAGCAACTGTCATTTAAGTGGTTCACAGGTCAAAACCACACCCAAGAAGTTCAGAAAGTTGAAATTACGCAAGGAGACACTTTTAGACTTGGATTATTTGGAGTATTCACCGGTTATAGCTGTTTTTAAAATTTTTTGGGATTTGTCACAAGTTTTCATTTGCTATAGAATTATATGGAACATGTTAAAGGAAAATATAATTACATGATCAATTGCTTCTTTGTATCACATTACTTAATTTAACTAAAAAAACTAGATTTCTTTTATAAACATTAAATCATGCAATAACTAAATCATTTTAGCCAGTTCTGATATTGCAAAAGTAAAAAATGAAATTATTTCTAAGAAAGGTTATTTAAAGTTCAGTAAATTGATCAGTTACAAACACATTTTGACTTTGTGAACATATCTTGACGAATTATTAATATTCTATTTATAGAACCATTGATGACGACAATGGAAGACTCCATGATACAAACAGCTCTTGGATCCTTGCCAATATGGGGAGCGGACGAGTCCATTCTTGTTGAAAGATATTCATCTGACCCACCCTCATATAAGCTTACATTTCAGTCAAGGAGAGGTATACTTACTTGTTAATTTGTAACCTTTCTGATTAATTAATGTCCAAAACGTAAACCATACTAATTTAGACTGCAGATTTAATTTTTTATTTTCATGATATATGAGCGGCGTCACAACAAAACCTACATAGTGTGTTTGCAACAAGCATGGATCCACACGAGCCAGCGCATCCGCGTGGTCTGATCAGGATCCATTCTGTTCCCAATCAGTTTCGCTTTTGAAATTGAGTTGGTAAGGGTACAGCCTGACTGACTGCGCAGATGCGCAGGCTGGTCTGGATCAACGCTGGTAGCAAACGCATTATGTTGGATTTGTCGTGATGCCTCTCAAATAGTTTGATAGACCTGTGTTTTAATAAAATTTAATATATCTATTTTCTTAGCATTATATTGCAACCTAATACTGACTCAAACTATACTTAAAGGTATGTGCTTCATGATGTGTTGACGATATTGTTATTTGCCATCACATTATTCAGTTTTTGACGCCATATCAAGCTTACGAAACGAAATTACCTCCTTATGTTTTAGACAGTATGCCACTATTCCAAGGACCTGAGTTTTAATCCAATTAGATGTCATAAATATCTTAATATTTTAATGATTTTGTTTTAAAGGTGACTTTCCAAAGGTTGATGTGAGGGAAGTAGCCAACAGCTCTGGAGTAGAATATATTGTGACAGAGCAGACTAAAGGAGTTCCAGATTTAGACATGGTCGCCCTCAAATTTGAAGGCATTGTTTCGGAACCATTCTCTGTAGCTTCACTTGATACTGTAATGGTAAGAAAACAAATTATTTACAATGTGGCATATTCAAATTATTGAACAACAACAACAACAGTCTATTCACAAATCATAATTTTCTGTGCCATCATTATCATCAACATCACAATAATCATCAAAATAATGATATTCGTCATCAAAATCATGATTGTCGTTGTTGTTGTATGCATTTTAATCATATTTGTCATCATAATAGTTGTTGTCATCATAATAGTTGTTGTCATCATAATAGTTGTTGTCATCATAAAAGTTATTGTTATCATAATAGTTGTTGTCATCATAATAGTTGTTGTTGTCATCATAATAGTTGTTGTCATCATAATAGTTGTTGTCATCATAATAGTTGTTGTTATCATAATAGTTGTTGTCATCATAATAGTTGTTGTTATCATAATAGTTGTCATCATAATAGTTGTTGTCATCATAAAAGTTGTTGCCATCATAATAGTTGTTGTCATCATAAAAGTTGTTGCCATCATAATAGTTGTTGTCATCATAATAGTTGTTGTCATCATAACCATTAGATAATGATAATTGTAAAGCATAATTGTTATCACCAGTTTCCTTAATTGAATTTTTGACACTATTATTTTAATCTTTGTAGATTAAAAGGGTAGTCGAGGGAATGTTTTCAGCCAAGTGTCCAATTGTGTTTAGCAGTCCAAGTAAGATGGCATATTATCAGAATTTTGAAAGACAAACTTCAGCATTCTCAGGAACAGTTGTTATGGACACTGAACCATTCTGTGGGCGATCTGTTCTCAAAAACCCATCTCGTATTTTCAGAGGGATATACTCTACAAAAGTTCCAATAATGCTGTCAACGTTTGGAACGGTAAAATTACAGTCTTGATTTATAGCTAGACATTGTGTTTTTTGGAAGGAAAAATATTGAGGTATTGTTACAGTTGTGTCAGCATTCCTGATTGCTTGCTGTTCCCATCCCAAAACTTTATTCTTGATCAAAACTTTTTAATTTCTTGGTGTAACGATATTGTCTTTATACTTTGTACCGTTTGGACAAGACATGCAAAGTTTTAAGTAGTCCAGACAAAACCTGACCTTCAATCAATAATGACTGGCCTTCAAAGTCAGATTTCTAAATTTTGTTTAATTATGCCTTCACAATGTGGGAGCATATAGCGTTGCACTTGTCCGTCGGTCCGTCAGTCCTTCCTTCGGTCCGTCTGTACGTCCCGAAATCTTGTGAACGCAACTCCTCTTAAACCGGATGACAGATTTTGCTTAAACTTACAGGGATGAACAACCTTAATGTGTAGATGGTAGTAAAGGAAGGAATTTTTGCTGCGACCAAATTTAACAGAATTATGGCCCTTTGTTGATTTTTTCACTAGATACTGTATAGAAATTTTGTGAACTCAACTCCTCTTAATAGACCGCATGGCAGATTTTGCTTAAACTTACAGGGATGAACAACCTTAATGTGTAGATAGTAGTAAAGGAAGGAATTTTTGCTGCCACCAAATTTAACAGAATAATGGCCCTTTGTTGATTTTTTCACTATATACTATGTAGAAATTTTGTGAGCGCAATTCCTCTTAAACCGAATGGCAGATTTTGCTTAAACTTCCAAGGATGAACAACCTTTATGTGTAGATGGCAGTAAAGGAAGGAATTTTTGCTGCAACCAAATTTAACAGAATTATGGCCCTTTGTTGATTTTTTAACAATATACTATGCAGAAATCTTGTGAACGCAACTCCTCTTAAACCGGATGGCAGATTTTGCTTAAACTTACAGGGATGAACAACCCTTAATGTGAAGATGGTAGTAAAGGTAGGAATTTTTACTGCGACCAAATTTTACAGAATTATGGCCCTTTGTTGATTTTTAGTTTTCAACTTGTGGCACATGTAGTCCAAAAAATATTTGACCTAGAGTCATAAGATTGACAGAACAGTGGGGTGTGGGGGATCTGTGTCCTATGGACACATTTCTAGTTTCTACTATAACTGGCTTTAACTTTATTATTAGTCCCCTACCGGTTTAACAGAGGGGGACTTTAGGTTCACCCTCTGTCTGTCTGTCTGTCTGCCGTCTGTCAGTAATAACTTCCTTACTAGGCAGGGAAACTTAACACATTACTGTAATATTGTTACAATTTCTTTCTATTCTGCTAAAGAAATTGATATGATTTTTATGCAAAGTAATATGATATTAATTATGCCCCCATTTCGAAGAAAAGGGGGTATATTGCTTTGCACTTGTCGGTCCGTCGGTCCGTAGACCAAATGGTTTCCGAGTGATAACTAAAGAACCCTTAGGCCTAGGAACTTCAAACTTGGTATGGTGATTGATCATGACCAGTAGATGACCCCTATTGATTTTGGGGTCAAGGGGTCAAAGGTCAAGGTCACATTGACCTTGTAAGCAAAAACGGTTTCCGATCAATAACTAAAGAACCTTAAGGCCTAGGAACTTCAAACTTGGTATGTTGATTGGTCATGATCAGTAGATGACCCCTATTGATTTTGGGGTCAAGGGGTCAAAGGTCAAGGTTACATTGACCTTGTAAGCAAAAACGGTTTCTGATCAATAACTAAAGAACCTTAAGGCCTAGGAACTTCAAACTTGGTATGGTGATTGGTCATGATCAGTAGATGACCCCTATTGATTTTGGGGTCAAGGGGTCAAAGGTCAAGGTCACATTGACCTTGAAAGCAAAAACGGTTTCCGATCAATAACTAAAGAACCTTAAGGTGTAGGAACTTCAAACTTGGTATGGTGATTGGTCATGATCAGTAGATGACCCCTATTGATTTTGGGGTGAAGGGGTCAAAGGTCAAGGTCACATTGACCTTGTAAAAACGGTTTCTGATCAATAACAAAAGAACCCTTAGGCCTAGGAACTTCAAACTTGGTATGGAGATTGGTTATGACCAATCAGATGACCCCTATTGATTTTGGCTTTAAGGAGTCAAAGGTCAAGGTCACATAGACCTTGTAGGTAAAAACGATTTTCGATCAATATTGAAAGAATCCTTAGGCCAAGGGACTTCAAACTTGAGATGGTGATTGGTCATGATCAGTAGATGACCCCTATTGATTTTGGGGTCAAGGGGTCAAAGGTCAAGGTCACATTGACCTCTTAGGTAAAAACGGTTTCCGATCAATAACTAAAGAACCCTTAGGCCTAGGAACTTTAAACTTGGTATGGTGATTGGTGATGACCAGCAGATGACCTATTGATTTTGGGGTCAAGGGGTCAAAGGTCAAGGTCACATTGACCTTGTAAGTAAAACGGTTTCTGATCAATAACTCAAGAACACTTAGGCCTAGGAACTTCAAACTTGGTATGGTGATTTGTCATGACCAGCAGATAACTCCTATTGATTTTGGGATCAAGGGGTCAAAGGTCAAGGTCCTTGTAAGTAAAAACGGTTTCTGATCAATAACTAAAGAACGCTTCGGTCTAGGAACTTCAAACTTGGCATGGTGATTGGTCATGACCAGCAGATGACCCCTATTGATTTTGGGGTCAAAGGTCAAGGTCACATTGACCTTGTATGTCAAAACGGTTTCCGATCAATAATAAGAGAACCCTTTAGGCCTAGGAACTTCAAACTTGGCATGGTGATTGGTCATGACCAGCAGATGACCCTATTGATTTTGGGGTCAAGGGATCAAAGGTCAAGGTCACATTGACCTTGTAGGTAAAAACGGTTTCTGATCAATTTACTAAAAACGCCTAGGCCTAGGAACTTCAAACTTTGTATGATGATTGGTCGTGACCAGCAGATGACCCTTATTGAGTTTTGGGTGAAGGGGGTCAAAGGTCAAGGTCATGACCAGTAGATACTTTATAACCCTTAGTAATTGTTTGATCACTGGGTCAGAAGTCATGCATAATAACCTTATCACATGACTAATTGGCTGCTGATAGGGGGCATACATGTTTTACAAACATATCTTGTTTACTTACGAAGCTTAAGTGCTTAACAGTTATTGGCCTGATGGCCTCTGAATCATTTTATCTACTTTTGTATCTAATCTCTTTCGGTATCAAGGAGGCTACTGTCTGCACTCTCTATTGTTTTTCCGGTAGTTGGAAAGGGCTCTCAAAAAAATTTTAAAAGGGGGCAGGAACAGAGAAAAGGGAGAAGTTTTGGGGAAGGAGTTGAGAAGGAGTTAGTTTATTTTGGGGTTATTTTTAGATTTGGGTCGGGAAATTAGTGGGGAAAATTTTGGTAAAAAGTTTTGAGTATAAAGTTTTTTAGGATATTTTGTGTAAATGGAAATATGAATGTTTGTGAAAATAAAATTATAGCAGAAGAAAAAAAAAAGCAATAAATCAGTTAGTATGTACATAATATGAATGAGTGGATGCATACATGAATGTATATTTTTATGCCCCCACAATGTGGGAGCATATAGCGTTGCACTTGTCCGTCCGTCCATCAGTCAGTCCGTCCGTACGTCCCGAAATCTTGTGAACACAACTCCTCTTAAACCTGATGGATGGCAGATTTTGCTTAAACTTACAGGGATTAACAACCTTAATGTATAGATGGTTGTAAAGGAAGGAATTTTTGCTGCTACCAAATTTAACAGAATTATGGACCTTTGTTGATTTTTCACTAGATATATACTATGTAGAAATTTTGTGAATGCAACTCCTCTTAAACCGGATGGCAGATTTTACTTAAACTTACAGGGATGAATAACCTTAATGTGTAGATGGTAGTAAAGATAAGCATTTTTGCTGCGACCAAATTTAACAGAATTTTGACCCTTTGTTGAATTTTTCACTATATACTATGCAGAAATTTTGTGAACGCAACTCCTAATAAACCAGATGGCAGATTTTGCTTAAACTTACAGGGATGAACAACCTTAAGATGTAGATGGCAGTAAAGGAAGGAATTTTTGCTGCCACCAAATTTTACAGAATAATGGCCCTTTGTTGATTTTTTCACTATATACTATGTTTAAATTTTGTGAATGCAACTCCTCTTAAACCGGATGGCAGGTTTTGCTTAAACTTCCAAGGATGAACAACCTTAATGTGTAGATGGCAGTGAAGGAAGGAATTTTTGCTGCAACCAAATTTAAGAGAATTATGGCCCTTTGTTGATTTTTTCATTATATACTGTATAGAAATTTTGTGAACACAACTCCTCTTCAACCGGATGGCAGATTTTGCTTAAACTTCCAGGAACTAACAACCTTAATGTGTAGATGGTAGTGACGGAAGGAATATTTGCTGCGACCAAATTTATCAGAATTATGGCCCTTTGTTGATTTTTAGTTTTCAACTTGTGGCACGTACATGTTTGACCTAGAGTCATAAGATTGACAAAACAGTGGCGTGTGGGGGCATCCGTGTCCTATGGACACATTTCTAGTTTTAATGTAACCTGTAGCCAGGAGCCTATAGTCCAAGACGGGGATAGCGTTACAATTTCTTTCTATTCTGTTAAAGAAATTGATATGATTTTTATGCAAAGTATTATGAAATTTATTTACTTAAGAAGCTTAAGGGCTTTACAGTAATTGGCCTTTCACTTCACAGTAGATGGCCTCTGATTCATTTTATCTACTTTTGTATCTAATCTCTTTCGGTATCAAGGAGGCTGCCGTCTGCCTTCTCTATTGTTTTTCCGGCAGTCCGGCAGGGCTCTCATAAAATTATAAGGGCAGAACAGAGCAAAAGGAGAAGTTTTAGAAGGAGTTGAGAAGGAGTTAGGATTAGTTAGGGTTAGTTAGAGTTGGTCAGGAGTTAGTCGGAGAATTTGGTAAAAGATTGAGTATGAGTTTACAGGATATTTTGTGTAAATGGAAATATGAATGTTTGTGAAAATAAAATTGTAGTAG